TCTTCACGAGGATAGTCCGGATGCCCAGGTTGGTCAGCGAGCGCACGCATCGATACAATCCGAACAGGGTTAGTTCCCTGTCCGACGTCCGCAAGACGGACGGCGTCGATGAAGCCTGGAAGTGACGCTTGGAGTACGTCTTCGACCATCTGAGAATAAAGTCAGAAACTATATGCCAGTGTGCGTCCAGTCGAGCACGTACGTCGACAACTGGGACAAACATCTCTGGGTTAATCAAGCCCCAAACGACCTTAATGAGCGCATTCAACCACTCAACGCTCTCCGGAGTAGGCGGACTGAAGGCTTCAGCACGTTGAACATGCATGCTCATCCTAACCCTCTCCATCTCCTTCTCAACTTTCCTCCCGGCATTCTCGCTACCAACCCAAGCAGCAAATATCGTACCGAACAAGACACCCGTCCTAAGCATCCAAGCGAACCAAGTGAGATGGTTTCGGAAGACGACAAAGAACCAGAGAGTGAGACACGATGCGGTCGTGACCAACGCGCCTGTGCGCAGGATCATCTTGGCTCTGCTGATGTCGACTGATTCGACGGGAGGAGGGAAGACTTGTAGGTTGATATTGCCGACATCTGCGGGAGCTGGAGCGGCGAACCGTTCGTCCTGCTCCTTCGTCTCGGGTTTGCGCTGAGACGGACCAGGCTTGGGGTTGCTAGGATCGAGAGCGGCGTTGTCGAGTCCCTTCCCTCGGAAGTCTGCGCATACACTGAATAAACGTACTCAAAGTAAGGAAACTGTTACACAAACCTTCAAACTGTGGGTTCCGCAAGAGAACCTGTTGCCCAGTGACGGGGTCCTTGACCCACTTGTCGCCCTTCTGCTTAGCGAGGTCAATAGGCTTTGCGTCCTTCGGCGGCTGCATACGTTCCATCAACTCTCGTTTCTCATCCTGCTTGGATCTCTTCGCCGAATCGGGGCCATTGGACGCACTTCCGTCAGCGGGTACGCCCGGTGTAGGCGGTAGCGACTTGTCCTTCTCTGCATTGTTAGACAATTCCTCTGCGGGACTCGTATGAGCGTCCGAGTCGCCCCCACAAAGTACAACCCACTGCACTTACCCTTGTATCTGTCAATGGTCGGGACAGGGTTCCTGCCCGAGTATCCTTCGCCGACGACGTGCGCCGTCGTGGTCATCGTGTAAGAGACTGAGTGTCGACTTGAGGTCGCTGTTGGACGCGGTGGTGAGCAGAGATGTGGGCGGGAGGCGTTAAGTATGCTTGATTTGGGTGGTGCGTCGGTGACGTCGAAGGCGTTGCCAAAGGTTCCGTCCCCAGCGAGCTTCCATGGCATATGAGGTCATCGTCGTACCTCGCACCACCACACGTTGGGACCCGACTGCAGTGGCACTACACAGGCTGCTTGCTCGGGACAAGTACTGGGGACAGAAGACAGGGTGTGTAGTATGCAGGTGGATGCATTCCGGCCAATATTAATTTTGCTGGCCTTACCAGTTTCTATACAGAGTGGACAATTAACGTTAACCAAAATAAAATGCCTTGATCCGTCGCGAGGAGATTGTTTGCGTCTATTTGGCAAAGCCATCGTTCCTGAGCAGGAGCGCCCGTCCCGCCCCACTGCTGGACAATGGGCCTCCGAATGCATCAATTGAATTATCCGTTGAATGCGGTGTGGCAGCCGAAACCATACAATATTAGAAGCGTCAACGCGTCTGGTCTCGTGCCCAGCCGTTCTCTCGCACCCCACCACCGCAGCGAACGTCTGGGGCATTCTGGCAGAGGACCCCTACCGTAGAGCTAGCGCCGACTTGTAACGGTCACATCACGCCTCGTGCCTGATGGGACGGAGATAGGCTTTCGAGATCTTGCCTATTCTGGATAAAGTCTCGCAGTCTCAATTCTCCTTGCTGCGATGGCTTTGAGTTATCTTGTCAGTTGGAGACTCTGTATGCTCATAAAACTTGGACGATCAATATTTGAGTGATGTTATATACCTATAAAAACCACACGGATGTCAGCAGGACTCATACAAACATCAAACAAGTGCAGATTCACCCGGAAAGTGTAGTAATACTGCTTCTGCCACTGTCAAATACATTATCTTCTCTCTAAAAGACTCAAAAACAGATAGTAGAGTTTTGTGCTGTACTATAGGCTCGAGTCCAGCCGTTTTAGGTAACTCGCAAGCTCATACCAAAACGGCTGGTCCAACTCGTTGCCCGTTTCGCCATGGGCACTTAGCGCCTGCGTGTGAAAGCTGGACTTAGTGTTTCGCGGTGTTTCGCGCAGAGATACAGTAGAGCCCAAGTGTAGAGTCAACCCCGGATTTACAACACTCCTCTTGTTCAACTTGGATTTGGTGGAACAAGCTTCCTCGAGACCAAAACCAAAACCAAGACCCAGGGCAAGGCCAAAAAACACAGTGCGTGCATTTCAAAGTCATTCTGAGCCGCCACTGCCTCAGACTGCAATTCAAGCTCACCCTACGGAATCCTACTCTTCGTTGGCCATGGCATCAGGGAGATTTATTTTCCAGGTATTGGGATATGAGCATACTAGACCATAATATATGAATTGAAGCAATAGGAATTTCGGACACACAACGGGGTACTCTGAGATGTTGGGTGACTCGAGTGGAGAGTCCAAGGAGGGTCATCATCGAGACACTAAGTCCAGCGTTCCCACGCCGGCGCTTAGGGCTATGGCAAAAAGGGCAACGAGTTGGACCAGTCCGTTCGCAAGCTCACGGGCTCGCCCCGTTAATGAAAGCTTGCGTACGGACTGGCCACGCGAGTCTAGCTGTACTATACAATATTTCTCTTCAACTCTGGCTGTCCTCAGGCTCTACCGTCAGCGAGATCCAACTGCAGAGACGTTTGCTGGTGCACCATTCACGTGACCAGATCTTGCAACTCAATCTTGAGACGCCACCGGGAAGTCAGGCACGAGACCTGATGTGACCGTTACAACTGGGCGCTAGCTCTACGGTAGGGGTCCTCTGCCAAAATGCCCCAGACGTTCTCCAGAACGGATGGGTACGAGACCAAACGCGTCACGGCGAACATGCACAATCAATATTAACCTAGTCCGATGGAAAGGGAGTCTTCAGTCGTCGCGGAAGGTCAGGAAATAACGGCTCAAGCACGTCCATCTCCCTACACATCGTATGCGCTCCCGACCCAGTCCTCAACTGCCTACGATGATAAATCGCCACGCGAGGCAGAAACTCCAACGCATGGAACCGACCCCTACACGTATCCACGAAACTCTGCCAATCGAGGTCGGCTATACGAGTATTGGCGTCGTCGAGGTTACCTGGGATGTCTTCGGGCTTGCCGACGAGTCTGAAGAAGATGTTGAGAGTGGATATGGAGTCTGAGGGGATGTGAGAGAGGAGACGGAGGAGGATGGCCCATGATGGTAGAAGTGTTTCATATGCTGTGCATATAATGAAGGATAGAGATTGAAGCGAAGTGCAACTGTGTAAACCGAGGTCGTGGAAAGGGGCGACTAGAATCTGTTCCACTGTGAAGATAGTCATATCAGCACGTTTCGCGAAAGGGACAGGGCACACGGGCCTACTCACATAACCACTTTTGCGACGAGAACATATCAATACTCAGGCTAGTCAGCCGTCCACCTACGCCACTCTCGAGCCAACTATTGATATACCTATAATTCGTATTGGAATTGGGAGGACCACACAACTCCGACAAGCAACACAGGAGCGACCGCATAGTGTTCGAGGCTCCCACTCTATCGAAGTAATTGATCCACGCGCTAATAGGTCGACACCTCAACAGCGTAACAGACGCGACGTGTAACATGCGCGTATCACCGGGGGGTAACGGAGAGATTTGTGCAACACCGGATAATCGAAGGTCGTCTATCCTAGAGAAGTAATGCAAAACATCGATCTTGGAGAGTTCAGCGCGAAGCTCTGAAGATGCGGATGTGTCTTTGAGGGGGAGAGAAGTCCAAACAACGCTCATGTTCACCCGCTTGAGAGGTCGTATGAGAGGTGGCGGCCATGGACCCTGGTACGCTCCCTTGAACGAACCAGTAGTCAATGACTGGTTCCAGTCAACCATGATCAACGAAAGTGCCTCGAGCGAAGGAAGGAGATCGATTATCGATACCAATAAGAACGGTCCAAGTTCAGGCGTACGCAAGATATCCAACCCTGACTTATCTCGAAGTCGCTCGTCGTCACATTTCAACGTGAGTTCCTTGATATAAGGTCGTACGTCCGGCGCACCAACCAAGAACTCGGCGAAAGGGATGAACCCAGGGTCTCCGGATGCCTTATAATACGGGACTTGGAGTGCTTCAAAGAGATGGTGACGTGCAGGGTCTAACCAGGTCTTGCACACTAGCGAGCATGCACGAAGAGAGTCACGGTCGTCGTATAGGTGATCAATTATAGTATCGACGATCTCGGGAGGGATGTACGGGATGGAAAGAGTTGTCGGAGGCTCTGTCGGTACAGACGAGTTCTGTTGATCGAGAGGGGTATCGAGGAAAGATAGTCGCAGGAAAGTGCGAAATGCTTGCATTGTTACGAGCTTTCTGAGGTCAGAGTTCAATATGGATTTCTGTGTGACGCGTTCGGGAGCCCACGCCACAGCTGCGACTCGGAGTGACTAACCTTCTTCACGTAGGTCAGGTAGTAGCTAAGCTCGGGTGGCGTACCAAGTGAAGGAGTTTTATTCAGCGTAGTTCCTGTCTCTGGGTGATCAGTATGTGTATATGGGGTCCGTGAGGGATACTGATGTCCTCAGTCGACTGTATGCATTCCGGGTGTCACTAGGGGTCGACTGTAAGACAGGAAGGGCCTGTACAGCACTAAATAGTACTTCCGAGCGATTTAGTAAAGGTCTAAGATGGGTAAAGTTGACGTTGAGTCGAAAGTTCAAAGCACCGGGTCGTTGCAGGGTTACTAACGGGACAATTGGTGGGGCAACACAAAAGAGAGGGAAGAATTGACCCGACATGTATTGTGCAACTGCTGAGCAGATATCGACCCCATAGCTCAGCGGTAGAGCGTGAGATTCCAGTGCTGTCACAGCATGGGGTGTTTCCTCAAGGTCATCCGTTCAATCCGGGTTGGGGTCATTTCTTTTTCACATGTCTCAGCGGGCAGTGCCTGTAAGACATAGTCGCGAGCTCTCCTGTGAACGATGTGTACTCAGTACTCAACGTTCAACTGTTACACTACCGTAGTCAGGATTATCGATTACTTTTTGTCCAGGATCGCACATCTGTAAGTACGGACCCGTACCTGCGACGAACGATGAAGACCGCGGTGAAGTTGCCACTGGTGTCAAGTGAAACATATGCATACCGACCGGCTCACAGCCTGCCTCACCACAACCCTCACCATACAGTACGCCACAGTACGCATACAGTGGTTCATACTCGTATACACATGCCCATGACCATCGACAGACTGGTCTTCAATGTGCCTCTCGAACCCAACAACGTCCTGGAGGTCAACGGCAAGTTGGGAGTGGCTCATGTGAAGAGTGCTCTCCCCGGAGTCCCCTCAGTCTGGTCTCGTACCCAGCCGGTACTTGCCGCACCCCACCACCGCGCAGAGTACCGTCTGGCGCAATCTGTAGAGGCGACCCCCCCTGCCAGCTACCGCCGGTCATTTTGATGGATTCACTACCAAATCAGGAAAGGGAGCCTGAGCCAAGCTCACGACTCGTTCCTCGTATCGACCTTGCTTTGCATGGATTTTTATCGCATTCGCTCACCAAAGCATAAGCAAAGCACTGGGCGACAAAATATCATATCCATTAAGTGTGTTTTATCCGTTTTGCTCTCCGTGTTCTGGCGCTAGCTGGCAGGGGGGGTCGCCTCAGGCTCTGCAGATTGCGCCAGACGGTACTCTGCGCGGTGGTGGGGTGCGGCAAGTACCGGCTGGGTACGAGACCACCTCAGTCCGCCCTCTGTAGCCCACTATCCGCACTTCACATTTGGCGTCGTGAGAACCTTACCCTTCCACACGCGAATCAATGCACTCAACTGCGTCTTGAGATTCTTCTTTTGGTAGGTTCGATCGTTTCAAACCTGCACTTTTGACTTCGCCAAACTGCCAAATCCCGTCTCCTCCCGTGGTGGCATATAGTCAATGGTTGCGCGTCTGCCCTGTCTTATAAGAGCGAGGGCATGGACACACCCCAACGTTCCCCCCTTACCCACACACTTCTACCTTCCCGCCAAATCCCCCCTCGCGACTTGACCTGTTGACTCCCTTGTGCAGCCCTTTTACTTCAACCCCCTACCAAACTATGACGAAAGCCGAGAAGCAGACCGTGTCAAGAGGCCCTGTCGAGCGACTGCATTTCGCGACTGAAGAGGAAAACCTCGCAGCATATGCACGGCACCAGGCGATCGCTAAGGAGTCTAGCGAATCGTTGGGCGGGGTCAGTACCGATTATTGTAACACACCTTTCACCATGATTTGGTTGCTCAACTTGTTTATCAAGCGTGTAAAATGCCCTGCTTGTCGATATGACAAAATTCTGGCCAATGAACAAAGTTTCGCAGTCCATCTCCGTCGCCAGTACGTCTTCAGGTTCGGTTCACGAACATATCATGTCTCACTAATCTCTCACTCTGTAGCCACGGACTGACGCCGTTCAAATGTGAAATGTGCGACTTACGCAGGGATATACATGGCAGAGAAATCGTAATCCCCTGCACGTACGCAACTGGCGATCAGGCGGAGCTCCATCGCCATAAAGGCAAGGCGCATAAAGAATACCAGGCACGGTTCGAACCTTATCCCTCAGACCGTAAAACGCGTCGTCGTCGCGCGAAGACATTGTCCCAACCCGACTCTCAACGAGAGTTCTCCCCCGCGTCTTCACTTGGGACGCCTGTTTCAGACCGATCTTCTTCCTCGTGCGATCTCACCTTCGACTCTCAAGGACCCCAGGATGTCTCTGCGTCGTTTCTCGATCATCCAAGCCCAACCCATCCGAACGCTGCATTCGCCGGGCAACCGGATGTGCTGCCTCAGTGGTTTGTAAACCACTCGCAATATCAGAATACTACTGCTGCTCCTATGCTTCCTAACACATACCACGGTCTTCCTAACGTCCCAATTTCTCAGTTTTCTCCTTCCTACATCCCACAGCCGTATCCGCAACCAACTTTCACCCATCCCACCCCAGCCTACCCTGCTCAAACTCCAAACGGATTCCACAATGCTCCGATGCCATGGTTCACTCAATCCAACGGTGGCGCGCCTTCAACGTCTGTTCCCTCTCAACTCCCGTACCCGATCCGGCCGGCCGCTCCCTTCAACGTGGACACCCGACAAGACCCCATGTTTGCCTTCGACCAATTTTTGGCCGGTCCCTCTCATTCTCAGGGCTACAACCAAATTATGGCCAACTACGATCAACCTAGCGGATCCGGCTTGACCAACGCGCCTTTTGACCCTTTCAACGCCTATCAAGTTGAACCTACCGTGCCTCAAGGAACTTCTTTATTCACTCAATCAGACTTGGAAGCTTTCCGCGACCTCGTTAGTACGATGCCTTCTCTTTCCTAACTTCTTCCATTATTTAAATCGGTTTAGGTGTTCAAGTGTTCTTGTTATTTGTTTGTATCATGTATCTTATGGTATTATTTAATATTTCTATCGGGATTAATGACATCGTCGTATTTACCAGAGGAACTCAGGCTGTATTCTTTGCAACTGGTCAATTCAACAAATTTGCGAAGGATTTCCTCAAGATTTCCTCGTACTTAGGCCCGTACGCTTACGTCTTACGATCATAAATTGCCAAGCGGCTCGCTATCCCATAGCAACTTGGCGCAGAGGTAGCGCGCGGGGCCCATAACCCCGAGGTCCCTGGATCGAGACCAGGAGTTGCTAGTTTATCCTCCATGTGTCTGTTTTTTTTCAGTATCATCAGGGCAGAAGCACCATAATTCACTGGCAAGCCTCAAGGAGCTCAAGGCCTCAAGTACTGCGACACAGTGCATTAGAAATTATCCTCAGCCCAAGTTCACTCTCTCTCATTGCGGAGGATTCCTCAGAAAGGTCTGTGCGCCAGTACTTTACTGCTCATGATCATGGTCGTTACGCGTAACAACCGACATTGACGCAAAACCGAAAATCCAACTCGCACGCACAAGGCGAAATAGAGTTGCTTCAGGCCAGTTGGTTTTTTACCAAGGTACCGAGATTTTGAACACAGTGATATAATGTCATTAACGAAGGGCACCTCGCTAATAATTTCGTACAGTACATAGTATCATTACCAAGGATATCTTTCCCCGAGATCATACCCTCCCTACGTATATCGCCGTCCATCGCCGCGAATACCTAGACGATGGAGAAGGACGTCCGAGTCCTATCTCCACCGGCAGCTTTGCCAGAGTCGATCCCTGCGGAACTCGAGAGAGGCGCGAAACCTCAAATTACACGGAATCCGGATCCTGATAATCCACATAGTCCTATATCTTCCCGAACTATCATCACCTCCGCATTCACCATCGTCCTCGTCAATACCCTCGTGCTCTACTTCTGGTTCACAGAACGCAGACTTTGGATGTCAATATACGTTCCTATACCCTTCGGCGAGCCGTTCACGTTGGACCTTCAACCTATATTCAAGGATGCTCCGTTGCTCATGCGTAACATGGACACTATCTTCAGTCTGTTCGTGGCACTCACGGCGTATGCACTCGCGAAGAACGCCGCTAAATTAGCTGAACACTCCCTCGCACACCTATGGAAGGACAAAGCAGACACAGATTCGCGAGGTGCGAAGACTGGAAAGCGTAGCCTCAATGTATTCAGAAGCTTGCTATCGAGCCTCCGACAAACCCGGGATATACTCAAAGAAAGACCTCTTGCAATCTCTCTATCCGTGATACTTCTCCAGGTATACCCCTTAGCTTTCTCCTGCCTCGCGTACACGCGTCCTTCATGGGTTCAAGAGCCTATCACCAACTACTCTTTCGTCGAGCTACCGTTCATGGAGGGAGTCGGCTCCCCTTGGTGCTCTTCATCTGAAGATAGAGATGCGTGTGTTGCTTCATATCTCGTTGCGTCCGCACACGCGGAATTGCTTAGCCTCGAGGAAGCCCACGTAGTGGCTGGCGACGTGCTCGAACAGCGTAGTCATCATCAATGGCTTGCTGTTGAGACTCCTACGGACTCAGACCTACGCCTCCTGGGGTACCTAGGACCTTACAATGGCGTCAACCTGACAGAAGGACTCGTTTTCTTCGGCAGCAATGTTGGGACCGTAACTCGCATTCTCGGGGACCCTTCACTATCTCTCTTTAATTCCTTTGATTTCGAAGTAAGAGTCAATACTACTCTTCCGATCCTTACAGTACAATGCGCAGAGGTTGCACAAGGAGATTGGATCATGGACGTCACTATCTCAAATTCGACGTATCACCTTCCCAGACCAGTTCCCGTACTATATGATGAGGAGGTCTCTGCCCAGATCACTCAAGACGGTCGTAACATCATCTTCTCCTTTCAATCCGCATACAACCCCGAAACCTTCTCCAACATACATTGTGCCGTCGGCCTCAGAACATGGACGAGCGAATTGGTCATAACCACAGACAACGTACGAGGCGGTCTCGTCGCGAAGATGACAGAGCGGCCATGGGAATGGGATGTCGGGAGGATGCAATCAGTCTTGCGCGACGATTCTCTCGAGCTTGCCATATCAGAGTTTGGCAGGATTTGGTTGAAAAGTATGGATTGGAGCGCGTTGCCTACTCCTTACGCCCTGGCGATGCTTGATACGGACGAGCCCGTCCGACATCCTTATATTGTCGGTGCTAGCCGTTGTCATCCTGGGGATTCTGTCGATGTCCGTGACATTGCTGAATACGCCTCCCTATCATTCCTCGCTAATAGCGTCGCCTTTGGATTCGCCAATGAATCGACTGTACCTCCTCCAGACGTTGTTGCGCCGATGGCTCAGCGAGAGATTCGCGTACGAAAAATGCTTTATAAGTATGTGCAGAGTGGGACGTGGTACCGGTTCTGTGCTCTCGTATTGGGTTTCAACTCGTTATTTGCTGTTTGGAGTGTATTCAGGATGTTGCGTGCAAGGACATCTAAC